GGGGAGGGGCGGAGCCGGCGGGCGGGCGGGCGCCCTAGGCCGCGCTCGCGTCTCCCGGCGGGCGGGGCGCGCGCGGCTCCGGGCCGGCTCGGGGGAGCCTCGGGGGCCGGCGGCTGGGGGTGTTCTGGGGGGCCCCCGCGAGCGCGCGCGGAGGGGAGCCGGCCCGGGGGGTCCCTGCGCACCCCCACCCTTGGCGCTCCTCCCGCCCGGGCCTCCCGAGCCCCGCGTCTGCACTCGGGGTGTCCCCGGAGGAGCCTGCGCCCGAAGCCCCGAGCGGACGAAGTTCGCCGCCCGAGCGGGGAGGAAGCCTCCGAGTGGACGCCGAGCCCAGCCTGGCCCGGGCCGGCGGCGGCGGAAACTTAGCGGGGCGGGGGAGGGCTGGGGCCCCGCCGTCTCTGGGCCGCGCACGAGAAGGGGAAAGTGGGGTGCGGAGGGCAGACAATGGCAGGAAGCCGCGTCTGGACTCCCGGCCGGCCGGCCCTCGCGCCCTGCTCCCGGAGCGCAGGCCCGCCGCCTGTGCCCGCCTTCCCAGCAGACGGGGAAGGACGGGGCTCCGCGCGCCTCCAGGAAGCACTTTCTTCTCGGGCGGCGAATAGGAAGTGCTCTGAGAGTCGTCCGGAGTGCGGCGTCGTTCCCGCACGGCTGGGCGTGCAGGAGTCCCCAGGAGTTCAGAAATCGGGGAAGACGCAGGAATCTCACTGAGGACCGGCAGAGACTGCTCTCACAGGTGCCCTGTGTTCCTAGGAACCCCCTGCCCCTTGGAAGCCTGGGCCGGCCTGAGCGTGCTGCAGAAGGCCCTGGTGGTGACGCCTGGTCGCCTGAGCGGTGCCTCCTAGGAGTGAACTGAGACTGAATTCTCAAGAGCTTGTGTTGCAGAAACAGAAGGAACTTCGTAGAAAAACGAGTCCGTAAGAAAGCAGGGGAAATAACGGGGACCCTGTATGTTGAAGGGGCCCATATCCTTCCTCCTGAACAAGAAGGAATGAGCCGCGGCCTCTACCAGGAGCCAGCGACCTTCAGCCCCAGAAATGTCTGATGACCTAATAGGAACTTCTTAGCACTCTGTACTCACCGGGTGTGGTGAAACACAGGGTGTGGTGGCACACGCCTTTAAACCCAGCCTTTGGGAGGCAGAGGCAGGCCAGTCTCTGAGTTCAAAGCCAACCAGAGCTATATAGTGAGACCCTTTCTATATAGTGGCAAAAAAAAAAAAAAACATGGCTATAGGTTATGTTTATTATTGTGCTGGCTTGAATGATGACGTCTCCAGCGGGTGGGTACCGTTGGGGGCGGACAGAGGCAGTGGAGCCTTGGAGGAAGAGTCACTGGTGGTGGCCACGAGTGTGTGCTTCCTGTGGCTGCTCTGCCACACTTACCACCCGCTCTCACGACACCCCACCATGATGGACTCCAGACCAGTAAGTTTAAACACACACTTTCTTACAAAAGCTGCCTTAGTCGAGGTGCTGTACACAGGGGTTTTCCTTACTTATTGTCAGGAAATTGCAGGGTACAAAACAATAGTATCCAGTCTGAAACCCCAACACTGGGAGGTAGAAACGGGAAAGTCAGGAGTTCAAGGCCAGTCTCTCCTACATACTGAGTTACAGACCAGTCTGGGCTATGTGAGACCAAAACAGGTAAATAAAAATGTGGTCTGATCTCAAGCTCCTGGAATATATATGTTATATATAGGTATATTGCATGAATGCCCAGAAAAAAGTGCAGCTATGTACCAAGATTTAGCAGTTGATGGACAGATGATTTCTTCAGCCACTGCTGACCACACCTATGAAGATGTGCTCAGATGTGTGCCAAGGGTCAGCACAGACAAATGTGACAGGTCCAAGTGGGGGCTCTTCTTTGACAGACAGCTGCAGAACACTTGCCAGTAACTTTCCTGGGCTAACTCTCAGCAGAAACACACAAGGGACTGTGGGAGCAATGGGACGTACTTTAGAAAACAGAATCAGTGTCTCCTCTTGTACCCCAACACAGCTGAAGCTAAGAACTTAAATGGGTCAGGTGTCTGCACACCCAGACTGGCTTTCCCTACGTGCTGTCTTTCTTTGCACCGTATATTCCTCAATGGCTGACCTTCACATCTCAGACCGTGTGGAGCCCTTGAGCACCAGGTTCGAAGAAAGAGCAGGAGCTACACGGGAGTTATGTCCGGGCGCAGCTGCACCCTTCCTAAGTGTTGCTCGGTTTTCCTAGGGCAGAGGACCACTCCTTGCCTTGTTTCCCAGAACAGAGATAGTTGACTGACCTGCGTACACAGACCCTGCCCAGTGGCTGATTGCCTGCGCGAGCTCACTTACACCGGCTTTGAATGACACTTGCCAAGCCTGCAGCTCAGGCTGGGTGTGCTAACCCTGGGCCCTGGTCTTCTCTAATGTGCCATCCTAGAGGCCCTGGTTCCCCACATCTAACCTTGGAAGTATACAACACTGTACGTGAAGAAAAGGATCTTTCTGCCTTCTGATTTTTTTTCTGCACCTCCAATTCAGAATTATGACACATTATCTACTTTCCTAATTCCAAAAAGAGTATGTGAGGGGCTCCATAAAGATTGTGCATGTGTCTGGTCTCTGTGGAGATCCTAACACATCAAATTATTTTCATTCCCTTCTTTGCCTTTTGGGTTCACTTACAGGCATGAACCGAGCAATGAGTTGACGTGTATTCTGGGCCACAAAGGACATTTCTATATTCTAGTACAGAGCCTCTTCCACACAAACAGGCCCCCTGTTCATCAATCTCCCCTAAACCACTTCTAGCCTCTGCCAAGCTTGAGGGGTGAAGCAGAGAACAGGAGATCAGCAATCCATCTCACCCTTGTCTTTCTGAGTCCAAAAGAGAAACACCCCAAAGGCCGATTTATAGGATCAGCTGGACAGCCAGGGTGATAGCAGTTTAAATGCACATGTTAAAGAAAGGGGCGTGCATGTGAACTGTAAGGAGAGAAAGGTGAGTATATTGGTAACTAAGAAATCTTTACACACCTCTCATAGCTGGACACAAATTGTCATAAGAAATCTTTACACACCTCTCATAGCTGGACACAAATTGTCAGCGTCTGGATAAAGACACATGACAGCCTTGTCAGGTGACCCAGTAGCAGGGTTACACTGGCGAGGACAGCGTCATGTGGGCCAAGGAGCTCCCACAGGTTGCCACTCTGGGTCACCTTTTCATTGCTCCCTACCAGGTCTGCCAGGACCACCCTACAGACCACGGCACAGACGTGGTTCCCAGAGGTGGAAGGCAGAGGTGAAGATATTGGCAGACAGTTGCTTCTGAGGCTTGCAGATGCCAGCCACCCCCATCTTCCCAATACTTCTGTTCGTGTGTCCCCTTTAGGGACACTGATCAGGACTGTCCTAACACTTGCCTCCTTCCTTCCTCAAAGACCCTGTCTCCATGAGCCAGCCCCTCTGACTGTGGGCCTCCCTCCACACTGATTTCACATGTCTGGGGGCAGGGATGGATGGCTTCGGCTCTCCTAAGGTGCGGTCCTGCGGTTTAGTCATTCGGGGAGACTAGAGTTCTACCCTCGGTCCTAGAACTGAGGAGGCCGGTCGGGTGCGCACTCCCAAGGCAAAGCCATCACCTGCGCTTCATGACTGACCTGCAGGGGAGACTTACACGCCCAGGGACCCGTAAGCACTCATTTCTGGCCAACTTGTTCAAATACGATCTTTCCCCACAGCCGTCACTTTGTCCTGGCACAATGTCCCAGGAGAGCAGGGTCTCAAAACCCCATCCAGCCAGGGGAAGCTTTCGGTTGCATCACTTTTGGTTGTGTCAGGGATACCCACTAACGAACTGTAGGCCATTCAGAAGCACACGAAAGAGCAGGCTCACTGGAAAAATTCTCGTGTGAGATTTCCCTCAGCAAAGAGCTAATTTACAAGGCTTGTCACACTCAAAACAGTGGCCACTTGACCCCACCAATCAACTTGTAAAGGCTTCAGTACACAAAGGCTCCTCCAGTGCCATGTGTGTGGGTTTCCTTCCCTCCCAGGGCTGGCTGTGCTCTGCAACAGACCCAGAAAGGACACAAATGAAATCGTCCCCAAAGGGTGATGTCATCTCTCCTACAGGAACAGACTGCCACTGCTTAAAAGCTCTTGGCCTTGGTTCCTGACAAGAAAGATAAATGGTGGACAATGACTTTAACTTTTGCTTCAAGCAGATCCACAGGATTCTGGGCCCAAAGAACACTGCATAGCCACACAAAGTGTGTGATGAGTTGCACACTCACGTTCCAGAACACAAGCGATTTTAGTAAGCCTGAAACCACTGCAGAAATGACCCTCCCTCAAGCTTTCTTCTGCAAAAAAAGGCAGATATGGAGCACTCTTCTGGACCCTCCAGGCCATTTTTCTGTGGTTTCCTAAAGGAGGGAGGGTAGTGGTGCCATTGAGGCCATTTCCATAGACAGTGACAGAACCTCACCTCCGACCTCAGCAAGGGCAAGACAAAGGGACTGCTGAGAAAAGGAAAGCCAAACTTGAATAATCAGACCTAGGTAAACAAAGCAAGCAGGGTTATGATCTCAACCTGAAATGTCACCAACAAGCCCATTTGT